CCAGGGATCAAACCTGCATCTCCTGCATCTTTTGCAGGCACTGAGCCACCAAGAAAGCCCAGTACTTTCATAACTGATAGATAAAAACAGATTTTTTAAATGTCTTTATTTAAAATTCAAAGATGAGAACAGATTCATGAAATGGCATTAAGTGAAGGGAGTTTATCTTTGTTCCTCAGTTTTTTGTTTTTTTTGTTGTTGTTGTTCCTCAGTTTTAAGATGGAGGAACTGAAGCCCCAGAGAAACAACCAAGTGTTTACTGAACTGGGCAGAAGGAAATCCCTGATCACTCATCTGTGCCAAACCCACCTTCCCAGGGCTCCAGCAGTTCCCACGCCGCTGGAGGCAGTGAATGGCCAAGTGACTGGCTCCAGGTCATTTGTTAAGGTCCCCTGTGACGCCTGCCATTCTGAGCTCATTTAAGCTTCCCAGTAGCCAGCCCTGCACGGTTGGCGCTGTTGTTAGCTGAGCTCAGGAAGGTGAGGTGGTAAGGAGGGGTCAGGGGGTCAAGGCCAGAAAGCTGTCCCCACCCAGCGGGAGGCCTGGGCGCCAGCACACGTGACCGGGTTCCGCCTGCCCTGCTGAGCAATCCTTTCCCAGCACGTATTGCTGAGTCACGGTCCCCAGCAGCTTTTCGCTGAGTCACGGTCCCGAGATCTGTTTTCGCCGAGTCACGGTTTCCAACTGCTCCCGCCTTAATCCCTGCGGGCAAAGTCCCAGTTTCCAGGCGGTGCGCGGCGGCGGCGACTCCCTGAATCCTGCCCGTCCTCGCCGACGGCTGAGTCGCCCCCGGCGAGCCCTCTTCCCCTTCCCCCTCCCGCGGCTCCCCAGCCCGCCTCCCTCCCATCCCTGTTTTAGGAAACTTAACACTTCCCTGCGGCCAGGAGCAGCGCTGGGGGATTCACACCTTAGATTGCAGAGCCCAGTGGGGTGGGCGGGATGATCCTCTTTAAGAGGTGGGGATCTAGTCAAAAGCAGGGTCGTCTGCGAAACTGCTGGTCCGGATCATGGCCAGACAAGGTTATAGAAGACAGGAAGGCAGAGGGCAAAGGAACAGGATGGCTAAATGCAAGGGGCTGCTGGGTTAGAACCTGGACTGACTGGAAAGAGCAGTTAATTGAGGACAATTGTTGAAATTTGAACATAAGCTTTAATATAATGAATATGTGTGAAAGTCAAATTTCCTGATGTTTATAATTGGATCGCAGCTTAGGAGAGACAGTCTTCTGGATATACTACATACTAAATGAGCTAGGAAAAAAGAAAATCATAGATGTATGTCAAAAAGAGCATATATACAATCAAAAGAGAGGGAGAATGAATGGTAAAACAAAAGGGACCAAATTCTAATCTAACAACTAGTGAGTCTAGGTGAAAACATACAGGAATTCTCTGTAGTATTTCTGCAACTTCTGTGTATTTGGAATTACTTCAAAGATAATTTTTTGAGAAAAAAGTAAAGATGAGAAATCTGATGTTCAAAACTCCCAACTGAGAGCAAAGTTTGTCAGATGTTAGTGAGCCTGACCCTATTCAGAGCCATCCAGAAACTTCTAGATAGGAAAAAGGCTCTTGGGGGCCCTGAAAGGGGAACTAGATGCCACTCTCAGACCAAACAACAGCTAACACTCACTGCAGGCTTCCTGTGCCAGGCCCAGCGTTGAGCTTCTAACAGATCTTGAGCTGATTTAATTCTCACCACATCCCCTTGAGCTGATGCTGTTATGACTCCTTGTTTTGCCAGACAAGGAAATAAAATCTTAGTGTTGAAATGTATATACACGGTAAGTCATGAATCCCAGATGTGACTGCAGTCTTTTGTGGAAGTGCTGTGATCAGATTGAACTAGATCCAACCAGGTCTTAGAGCCATAGTCAGGCTCCCTACTGGCCAAGCTTTTTAGCAGTCTGAGCTCCCTAACACTGGACTGCTGCCTGGTCTGGCTGTGGTCTTCAGTCCCTGGACCTGTTAATGAAGACTCGGCAATGTTAGAAAAAGATATTAGTCTTTCTTCATTCCTCACCACCTCAGGCCCAGGATTTCTAGACAGTTCATTGTAGAACTTCAGTATGCTTTACAGCCAGACACACCTGGCCTCCCTCATGTCCCAGGTGAGCTATGTGACCATTGGCAGAAAATTTAACCCTGCTAAGCCTCCTTCATTTAATATGAAGGGATCATTTAATATGAAGGGACTGGATATAGGGAGTGTGTCACGATCCTTGCTATCTTCAAGGATCTTACGGTCAGGATGGAGGCTACTGGGGGATAGGGACCTCAGCCAGGGACCCATAAGGCAAGGGGAAGAACTTCAGGAAAAGTCTGAGCCCAGTTGCTTTGTTTTACAGCTTTATTGAGATATAACTGACATAAAATAAACTCTACATGTTTAAAGGATGCAAACTGATGAATTTTGACATGAGTATACTGGGAAGCTATCTCCACAATCAATGTAATGAATTTATTCATCACTCCTAAAAGTTTCCTCACGGTTCTTCGTAATCCTCCCCTCCAACAAGAGAACTGCTGATTATATTAGTTTACACTTCCAAGAATTTTACGTATTTCTATATACACTTCATATATAATTTATATATGTTAGTCACTCATTTGTGTCGACTTTGCAACGCTATAGACTGTAGCCTGCCAGGTTCCTCTGTCCATGGGATTCTCCAAGCAAGAATACTGGAACGGGTTGCCATTTTTCTTCTCCAGGGGATCTTCCCGACCCAGGGGTTGAACCCAGGTCTCCTGCATTGCAGGCAGATTCTTTGCCATCTGAGCCACCAGGAATGCCCTATTTATATATAATTCTATATAAATGAAATTATACAGTAAGTACTCTTTTGGGGGCAGGTCTGGCTTCTTTTCCTCAGCAGAACCCTTTTGAGATTTATTCATGTTGTATGGATCTGTGGTTCATTCGGTTTCATTGCTGATTATCCAGTGTATGTTTGTACCACAGTTTGTTTACCCATTTACCTGCAGATGGGTTGTTTTCAGTTTGGAATTTTGCAGATAAAGCTACTGTGATTATTCATGTATAGGTGTGGACATATGCATTCATTTCTTGCAAATAAAGACCCAGGAGTTGAATGGCTGGGTTGAACAGTAGGTGTATGTTCAGGCTCTTAAGAAATTGCCAGACTGTTTTTCCAAGTGGTTGTGAAGGAGGAAGAAAACCTTTCCCTCAGCCCTCCTAGGTGCTCCAGCTGGGGCCCCGGAAATTAAACTGAGGGAAGATAAACTGACAGAGAAGCAGAGTGTGTTAACATGCAGAGGGTTCATTCATGTGGGAGAAACACTGTGCTCAGTTAGTCAAAAGATCCTTAGAACTGAGGCTTCTGTAGCATCTTAACAGAATAAGGGTGTAGAGAGGTGACAAGATAAAGAAAAAAGAGTTTAGGCCTTTGGGATCAGCAAGCAGAGGGAGGGTAAGCATACGGGGGAAACTCGTGGGAGATAAGGGTTAATTTGGAAAGGTTTCTTATGCCAATTCTTTTGGGTGCCATCCCTAGGCTAAGAGGCTAGAGTTGTCTAAGCCTGCTTTCAGACAAATCAGGGGGAAAGCAGAGAAGTGGTTTTCTGACATTTGTTGTTTCTCAGTTGTCTTCAGCTCAAAATAACCCTTAGACCAAGGTAGCATAACCCTTATACCAGAGTGTGGTGGGGCACACTCTGGCCTCTGGCAAGTACCGTTTCATGTTCCCACCAGCCGTAAACGTTCTCCTTTCTCTGCATTTTCAGTAGCAGGAAGAATCAGCCCTTAATTTTAGCCATTCGAATAGGTATATAGTGGTATGTCATACCGGTTTTAACTTGCGTTTCCCCAATGACCTGAGATGCTGGAGAAGACTCCTGAGACTCCCTAGGACTGCAAGGAAATCAAACACTTATTTGCCTTATTATTGAATCATATTGATTCTTTACATATTCTATAGACAAGTCCTTTGTTGGATGTATTTTTGCAAATATGTTATTTTATTAAATAGAATAGGCATCTATTAAAAGATGCCTCTTTTTTTGCATCACAGTATTTTTTTTTTTTTTTTTTTTTNACACTTTTTTTTTTTTTTTTTTTTAGTATTTATTTATTTGGCTGCGCTGGGTCTTAGTTGTGGCATGCAGGGTCTAGTTCCTCACCAGGGATGGAACCCCAGCCCCCTACACTGAGTGTGAACACAGAGTCTTAGCCACTCAAACACAGACAAGTGCCGGTCACAGTGTCTTTTAAAAACCAAAAGTTTTAAATTTTAATGAAGTCCTATTGTTTTTTTTTTTTAATATTTCCTGCTTTTTTCTTTTGGTTGTATTTGAGAAATCTTTGCCAAATCTAAGGTCAGTAAGTTTTTCCTTTATGCTTTATTCTATATGCTTTATAGGTTTACCTCTTTCATGGAGGTCTATTCTGGGCTGAGCCTTGAAAGGTGAGTAGCCCAGCCAAAGAACAGGAGAGAACATTCTAGGCAAGAGGGACCACTTGAACAAAGGCCCAGAGGGAAGGGAGCTTCTGTAGTTCAGGAGTAGTCAGGTATTCCTGAAACTAGCACACAGGGTGTAAGGGAACGAGAGAGGTGAGATCCCTCCTACTGGAGACGTGGCCTGGGCTGAGGGCAGAGGGCCAGACTGAAAATCTTGCACTTTATCCCAAGGGTGACGTGGAGCTAACCAAGAGTGTTAACCAGAGAAGTGCTGCCGGCACCTCAGTTGCCTTATCAGCCAAATCAGGAGCAGGAGGAGGAGAAGGGGAGATAAGGAATGAACAAGTGTTTCATCTTGGGCCCGGGGAAGGCCCTCTTCTCATGCTCTTTCATTGGGGTACCCAGTTCTCCCAGAAGGGAAATGATAATCAACTCCTATTAAATGCTAACATTTCCTGGTGACTGTCATACTGCTTCTGGGAGCTCTCCCTCCCCATTCCTTTTCCGCTTTGTTTTTACTTGTATTAAGGTACAGTTAACTTACAATGTTGTGTTAGTTTCAAGTGGACAGCAAAGTGATTCAGTTATACATCTCTATCAGGAGCTCTTTTATTAGCCATGTTCATCTTTTGTCTGTTACAAGAGGTCCAAACGTTTTTCTCCCATTCTGTCGCTGGGGTGTCAATCTTGTTTATCAGGCCTCTTGCAACCTAGAAAGATTCAGTGTTTTGTAGTCCAGACTGAGGATGGTTTGCATGATTTGGGGCTCGTCTACCTTGCGGAGACCAAGGCTGGGCTCCATATAGCCTGCACACCACCACGGTGTTCCCCGTTCCACCCCATCCCCCTGCCGTCCCTGGGTTAAAGACCTGCTTGTTCTCTTGGATCCGTGCTGGGCGAGGATGCGGACTGGCTACCCCCGCTTGAGGACACCCAGGCGGGGGTCCACTGATTCGCTTGGAAAACCGGTCCAACTGAAGCTAAAGACTTCTCACGGCCACCCACCCCTGTGTTCCCCCAGCCTCCGCGGAGGCCTCGCCTTGGATTTTCACTTTTGGGCCTGAGGAGCCGCAGCCCTGGCCCCTCCCTGCAGCCCAGACCGCTTCCGTTTTCCAGGCAGGCGGAGGGGCGGCGCCTTCGGAATGCTGAGTCTCGGTTTCCACGTTCCCCTCGTGCCGTTTCTGCTGTGTCATGGTTGGGAGGGGGGCGGGCGGAGACGGGAAAGGCAGATTTTGCTGAGTCACCCCAGCTGCTTCCTCAGCCTCCGGCTGGGTGCTTGGCTAAGGGCAGTCTTCCCTGGAGGCAGGAGGAAGTGAAACTTCTAGAAAAGGGTAGAAGCTTCCCATTTCACTCCAGTTTTTGCATCGCGTTTGCAAAGCCCTGTCCCATACATCTCAAAAGGGATGTGCCCAGTGTTGAACTGCTGAAGGTCTCCCATCACAGCCAACTGATCATTCCACCTTCCCAGCTGGTTGAACCCCAACTTTGGAGCTATCCTTGACAGCTCCTCTCACATCTCATTTGCTACCCTTCTAACACCTAAAGCTCTGCCTTTACAAATGCATGTCCTAGGCCACTTACTTCTCTGTTCTTTGAAAACCAGCATCATCTCTCCTTGGATTTGTGTGGTCGGTTGCCTTCTGCCAATGTCCTGTGTCACCCAGAGCAGCCAGTGATTGTTGATCCCAGGAAAACCCAGTGAGACCCCAGCACTCCTCCCCTCCCAGCCCTTGGGTCTCCCCTACTTACAAAGGTCCTAGTAATGGCCTGCAGGCCTCACAGGCTACCTCTCTCCTGCTCCCATCTTCCACCCTGTCCCCTTCCGCTCTCTGCTGCAGCCAGACTGACCTCCAGGCTGCTGCCTGTCCCTGCCAGGTCTGGGCCACCTGGGGTCTCAACTCTTGACTTTTTCCTGTGGCCCCAAACAATGGTCTCCCCACACCTCCCAGCCTGTGGAGCCCACCTTGACCTGACTGACGGCATCACAATCACTGATTGCTTCCCATACTTCCCATCTCTCTGACATCTCCAGCCAGGGAAAGTTCTGTGTTTGCAAGGGTTTATGTGGCTAGACTGGGCCCTTCCAGAGACTCTGCGGTGAATTCCCTACTTTGAGATCTGTGACCTTAATTACATGTGCAAAGGGTGATTGAGGAGGAGATAGGCTCCAGGTTAGACATTTACAACTGGCCTCCTGCAAAGGGTAATGACCCTGTTTAATGATAACAGAACATATTCACAAGTTGTAAGGATTAGACAAGGACATCTTTGTGGGGCCATGATTCTGCCCACCGCAGATAAATGCTTACTTCCTGGGTATGGGGAGGATGGAATGGGACCCTGTTGGGAGAAGGCTTGGCTCAGAGCAAACTCCAGTGTTTCTTTTCCATTTCCACCTACATTTGTCTTTGGTGCTCTGTACCCCCTTCCTGGATCATTTCCCTGGGCCCAGACTTCATGAGGACACAGAACACCCATGTTCTGTCAAAGTGGGGTTCTAGCCTCTTCAGCTTTGTACCTGCAGCTCCACACATAACAAAACTGGCCCGTTTCAGCTGCTCAAGTATTTGACTCTGCAAGGGAATCCAGAGAGAGGGTGGTGGGTTCTCTGATGGAATAAAGCTTTATTTGGGGGGCAGGGAACTCCCAAGTGGCTCAGTGGTTAAAAAAAAAAAAAAAATCTGCTTGCAGTGCAGGAGACGCAGGTTCAATCCCTGAGTCGGGAAGATCCCTGAGATGAGGAAATGGCAACCCACTTCAGTATTCTTGCCTGGGAAATCCCATGGACAGAGGATCCTGGCGGGCTACAGTCCATGGGGTCACAAAGAGTCGGACATGGCTTAGTGACTAAAGAACAACAACAACTCTTTAACGGTGGGATACTAGGCATCACGCAGGGAGATTGCAGGAAGGATCTCTCTGTTCACCCCATCCTGCTTCCCGAAGCTGTCGTGGCAAATATCACAAACACAGTGGTTTGAAACAACACAGATTTATTCTCTGGAGTTCCTGAGGTCAGAAGTCCTAAAATGGGTGGGCAGGGTTGCACCCCTTTTAGAGTTCTAGGACAGAATCTACTTCCTCAACTTTTCTAACTTTTGGAGGGTACCAGCTTTCCTCGGCTCGTGGTCCCTAACTCCGTCTTCAAAGTTAGCAGCACAGCATCTTCCAATATCTCTGTCCTGCTTCCCTCATCAGATCACTTTATCTGTAACCTCCCAGCCTCCCTCTTATAAGGACTTTTCTGATCATATTAGGATAATCTTCCCATTTCAAGATGCTTAACTTAATCCCATCTGCAAAATCCTTTTTGCCATATAAAATAAGTAACATATTCAGATGTTCTGGGAATTAGCATGTAGACATGGCGGGGGGCATTATTTAGCCTACCACAGGAGGAGAAATATCATTTAAATCATTCCATTGTTTGAGAACACAGAAGAGGAAGTCAGGAAGCTGAATCAGCATGGGGAAAGGCCACAGGCTCAACACTGGGACAGAGGAGATACCAGATCAGCCCTAGTTCAGCCCCCTCCGCCCTGGGGTTGTCTGTGTGTGTTTGTGTGTGTGTGTGTGTGTGTGTGTGTGTGTGTGTGTGTGTTGGTGGGGGGGGGTCTGTTCTCGATAAGTCAGGGGCTCCCAGGGAAGAAGCTGTAGTGAGGAGCGAGCCTGGACTCGGAACCAGGAACCCTGGGCCACTGAAGGCTCTGTGTCCTAGGGGGGCACAGCCTGGCGAAGTCACTTTGCTCTTGGATCCTCTGCTCCCCCATGTTAAATATGAGAATGGCAGATCACATGAGCTTTACCTTCTGGGCTTTCTGAATGGACAGGCTGATGGCAAGCATTCAGACTTTCCCACTCTTATCCTGTAAACTCTTGGACGACAAACGGGCCTCCCATAAAAGGGCATGTGATATGGGGTTCAGAAGTATGGATTCTGGCTTCCAAGCGCTGTGCTTTGAATCCTGGCTTGGCTATCACTAGCCATGTGACTTGGGAAAACGACTTAACCTCTTTGTACCTTAGTATTTACATGGACAAAACAGAGATGAAAATGAAAGGGCTTTTGCCAGGATTAAATGCAGTCTTGCACATAAGGGTTCAGTACACAGTAAGTGATCAGTAAAGTTTGACTAAGATCAAAACTTGTAGCTTGGTTCCAACGCTTTCTGGCAACCTAGCTGTATTATCATGTTTATTTACCAGAAAGAAACCTTGTGGCCTATATTCATTCATTCAGTATTGATTGTCTGCTACTTACCAGGCACAGTTCCAGGCTCTGGAGATTCAAAAAACAAAACCCCTGCCCTCCTGGAGCTTACATTCTTTTTTTTTTTTTTGCGAGTTTGCGCTTGTCTTAAATATATGGAATGCTTCACGAATTTGCATGTCATCCTTGCCCAGGGGCCATGCTAATCTTCTCTCTGTCATTCCAATTTTAGTATATGTGCTGCCGAAGTGAGCACTGGAGCTTACATTCTGATGGAGATACATGTTTCTAATAATCCTTCTTTCTAGAAAGTTCTTGGCAACTCTTTTTTGAAATCTTCCAGCAGCTCCAGTTCTAGTTCTTACCTCTGTGAATCTTGTGAACTGGTAAATGCCATCCTCTGTAGAATGAGCCTTTCAACGAAAACCATGGAGGTGACTTCTGGGCTCTAGCGGGGAAAAAACATGTTTTTTTTTTTTTTCACTTGTCTCACGTTCTACTGGATTCTGAGACACGACATCCTACCTTGAACTTTTGAAATCCTTGTGCTAGACTGCCTGGGTTCAAACCCTTATCTTTACCTCTCTGCCAGAGTTTCCTCATTTGTAAGATGAGGACAATAACAGTAACAGCCTTATGGAGTTATGAGGATTTGTTATTATGAGGACTATGAGGATATTATGAGTTATGAGGATTTAATCTGTTAATACATGTGTTTAGTATAGTATCTGGCACACAGGAAAGGCTCAATGAATATTGGCTATTAGTATTGTTATCATTGTTCATCAAAGCAGAAGATCGATATATAATTTATACCAAGAGCTAGATTCTTTGGCATAGCCCCCCTCTCCTAGAAGACTGAGCCGCCCCCATGCCTCTAGATTGATTTGGTGGCTGAAGTTCAGGTCAGTGATCCTGGAAGAGGATGGATCATGGGCCAGAGCTCTGAGCCTGGACCGGATGGACACACTGACACACTACCTGCCTGGTTCTTCCAGACTGTCTCCAAGCATCAGAGACTTCTGCTTACCCAGGAAAGACAGCCTCAGCTGCTGTAGTCCCCCCATCTGAGAACCCATGCTTGACGGCTGGGCTGGCTGTCTCAAGCTTGTCCTCACATTCCTTCAGAAGTGGAACACTTGCTACCTCTTTTCCAAACAACATCCTTGTCCTGAGTCAAAGTTAAACTTTGTTTTGTTTAATCTAGAATCCAGAATTGTAACTTTGGGAAGGGACTTTGGTATTGTCATTTGCATTGTCATCTGGGCTTGCCTAGTGACCTGCTTCTCCCCATCCTAAATGATCAATCTCATGCAGAATCAATTCAATAGTTGATCACAGGACCAGCTCTGTTCCAGGCCTGGGTGGGTACCGCATGTGTGCTTAGTCACTCAGTCGTGTCCGATTCTTTGCAACCCCATGACTGTAGGCCACCAGGCTCCTCTGTCCACGGGGATTCCCCAGACAAGAATACTAGAGTGGGTTCCCATGATGATTTTCCTCCAGGTGATCTTCCCAACCCAGGGACTGAACCCAGGTCTCCCACATTGCAGGCGGATTCTTTATCATTTGAGTCATGAGGATGAGATAACTCAGACTCAATGAGCCCTGAAGATGGCCCTGTGCAGGTGAGCAGGGAGGTGGTCTGGATGACCAACATCATTGTCCAGCTGGGAACCAAGTGCTAACAGGGCCTGAAGGAGACAGGCAGAGACCTGGAGTTTGGGTCCCGTTTTCCTGCTTTATGTGTGTCCACGGTCGTGCCACTTAATCCCTGCCCCCACCCACCACCGAGCCTCATTTTCTCTGTAAAATGGTGAGATCTACCTCAGAGGGTAACTGTAGGGATGAACTATGAAAACAGTACCATCTTAAGCATTTAGTAGGTGCTCAAGAAAGAAAAAAAGGCCAAAGGAAACATGAGGAAGCAGGCTGCCAGCTGAGGGTCCCAGAAGGAGGTGACAATTAGGGAGCAGGCTGGTGCGGGGGGCTGTAGACAGGGTCTGGAGACGGAGTCCTTGACATTGCCCCGAAGCCTCCGGCTCTGAGAAGCCCTGCCTCCCAGCTCTCCGGAACCATTCAGATTCCTGGGGTATTCAAGTACCATTCCTGGGCTGGAGGCTCTGAAAGGGGCAAAATCACACTGCTGCACAGATTTCCAGAAGTTGGGTTTTTTTTTTTTTTTTTTTTTCGTCTTGTTTTAAATAGATTGTTTTCCAAGGGTCATATGACCGCTCCTACTCCGCCCCCGCAGGCCAGGGGCGGGTGGGGCGCCGGCCCCCGCGGGTGTTGCAACGTCGGGCCAGAAAGTGAGGAAAGGCAGGCGGGCGGCGGCCACGTGACTCGCCCCGGGGATAAATAGACGGCGAAGTTGGGACTCGGCACAGTTGCTCTCCCGCCTCCTCGGTCCACTTCTGAGCCGTCGGAGCCAGCGTTCTCGGAGCCAGAGTTCTCGGAGCCAGCACCGACCCTACACCTACGCAGCCGCAGGATGGAGCGCCCGCAGCCCGACAGGCAAGTGCGGGTCAGGGGACCGGCCTCTCCCGGGCAGGGCAGCTCCCTCCTCCCGCAGAGCTCCCGAGACCGAGCCGGGAAGCAGGAAGCGCCCTCGCTGAACAGGCGGGCGGTCACTTGGGGCTTTGGTGTTAGGAGGAGCTGGGTGCCAATCCCGCCCGGTGGGGCAGTTGGAGAGATGAAAGGTGATTGACATGCCTGGCTCCCTGTGGCTGACCCGATGGGAGTGTTG